CCAATGCAGGAAAGCGGCAGGTTGCAAAGCCAATGTGCAAAGTCCATAGTCTTCCTTTAAACAGCAGGTGAGGGGAGCCAGGTGAGGGGAGCACCCTGTAGCAGGAGCAGCTGGGGAACCCCTGGGGGAGAGCCGCTGTTTACACTGGTCAGCGCCTGTGGCTGGGTTGGCTACCTGGGCCTCCGTACTCCAGGGATGGCCTGTGCCAGTGCTCCACGTGACCTGGGTGCACTCCCCTCTGTGTACCCGAGTCTGTGGCTCGCTCTGCCTCACAGCCAGTGGGGAGTCACAGTTGAATGATTGTCTCTGCCAAGCCTGGGAGACCACAATGCTCTAGAGTTCACGTGTGGCCGGAATGCAGGGACTGAGGGGCTCCCTGGGACGAGGGGCTCCCTGGATGTAGGACGCTCGGTAGCAGCATCTGGACTGTTCCTAGGCTGTTGCTTGGGTAGAGCCCAGACCTGTGTGCGGGTGCTGGCATCCCCCCTTGGCACTCACACGTCTTCTTTCTGTAATTCCTTTGCCTTCCTGAGTGCTCTGATCTCCCATGCCTTCCTCTCCTTGATCACTGTGAACCCTATAAAACTGAGAAACATCCATGTTCACCTCCCAGTAGTTGAGCTGCGAGGGAAGCCAAGCTGGAGAGAAGGTAACACGTTTGTTAGACCAAGCCTCAACTAACTGACTTCACATCACCTCTGAGAGCTGCCCAGGGGCAGGTTGTCCAGAGTCATTCAGGAGCCTGGGGGACAGCTTAGTGGGCACCCACCTGTCCCCGGAACCCAATGGCGGCTGTGGTGTGCTGTTATCTCTGTACCTGCACCATGCAGCCCTTCACAAGAGTCCCTCTATTGTTCACAGAGATGGCACAGGTAAACACACCTGATAGCAGTCGGTGACGATGGTGATGGTGCTGAAGGTGCTGATGATGGAGATGTGCTGCTGCTGATGGTGTTGGTAGTGATGGTGCTGATGGTGCCGGCGATGGTGGTGCTGATAGTGATGGTGCTGATGGTGGTGATGTTGCTGATGATGATGGTGCTAATAGTGATGGTGGTGATGGTGCTGATGTTGGTGGTGCTGATAGAGATGGTGCTGATGTTGGTGATGGTAGTGAGTGCTGATGATGGTGGTTCATAGTGATGGTGGTAATGTTGGTGCTGATGGTGGTAATGATGGTGCTGATAGTGATGGTGGGGATGATAGTGATGGTACTGCTGATGGTGGTGCTGCTGATGGTGGTGGTTATGATGGTGATGCTGATAATGATGGTGGTGCTGATGGTGCTGATCGTACTGATGGTGATACTGATAGTGATGGTGATGATGGGAGTGATGATAGTGATGTGGTGCTGATAGTGATGGTGGTGATGATGATGATGTCGGTGATGATGATGTTGGTGGTGATGACAGTGATGGTGGTGATGATGGTGATGGTGGTGCTGATAGTGATGGTGGTGATGGTGGTGATGATGGTTATGATGGTGGTGATGATCATGATGGATGATGATGGTGATGTTAGTGGTGATGATAGTGATGGTGGTGATGAGGATGATAATGGTGGTGGTGATGCTGCTCCTGATGGTGATAAAGATGGAGCTAGTGCTGAGCTCTAGCAGTTGGTGGTGGCTGTAAATCACAGCATGAGGGAATTTTGTCTTTAGCCTCCATGGCTTTAGGTTTCCCTTTTGCCTGTGTGTGTGACAGTGAGTGCGTCTGTCAAACGTCAGCCCTCAGCTCATGTGGAGGATGAACGTTAACCGTCCTGGTGCTCGGCCCTGGCCTCAAGATTGAGCGAGGCAGCGGGTGCAGGGAGGCCCTGCTGCTTGGTGTGTGTCTTCCATGTTGATGTGCATGCTGGGCCTCGGTCCCCTCCTCTGTAGAGTGGCTAATGATTACTGGCAAGGAATTCAGATCAGCCTTTCCATTTCCCTGTCTGTAGTTTTATGTGATATAAGATACTTATTTTATTCCAGCAGGTAGTAATTATAAATAAATCTTAATATTAAATTTAACTGGATGGATATTGTTCCACAAACTGAAGGCTCAGCCTTGTCTGGACCCCATTGTCTCCCCTGAGCCCATCTGCTATGCTGCTCTCAGGGCTGTCCTCCTAAACTGGGCACGCAGCCTGCCTCCTCCTCCGCAGAGACTGGTACTTTTCTCCATCATCCGCCTGTCCCCAGCCAAGGCCTCAGCTCGTCATGGTCTGGGCCAGTCCTATGCTGTCACACCTCTGCTGTCACACTGCACAGGCACCCCAGGCCAGGAGCTGACCCATCCTCTGAAGAAGCTAAGGGCCATGTCCTACTCCAGGCTTCTCACCTGTCAGCACTATTCCCAGAGTGGTCCCTGCACTCTCTGCCCTCTCCCTTCACACTCCTCAAACGCTGCACACAGGTGAGCACAGGTGAGCACAGGTGCACACAGGTGAGTCCAGGTAAGCACAGGTGAGCATGATGTGCACGGGTGAGCACAGGTGAGCACAGGTAAGCACAGGTGAGCGCAGGTAAACACAGGTGAGCGCAGGTAAGCGCAGGTAAGATCAGATGCACACAGTGCCACCTTGAGGAGCAGGAGAGAGGGAGAACAATGGGGAGTCAGGGACAAGGAGCACTGAGGGACCCAGGCTGACGGAGCAGGAGGCCCCAGGTGGCTGGCACACCACACTGAGTCACGCAGTCCTGGATCCCACCCCCACCCCAAGCGATGAGCACAAATATGACCTGTGAATACTTGTTGAATGAAAACACCTTTATACCTAGAGTTAATTAAATCATGATATCAACCAAACCTGCTCTGCTTATTCTTTTATTAACATATTTATTTGGTAATCTGGGAAAAAAATTTGGAAAAATATTCCACAAAATCATGAGACTGCCTGATTGTCTCTCCACACTTCCCGCTGTGTCCTCCGCCCTGCGGAGCTCTGTGCTCTTAGGGATCCACACTCCTCTGTCTGGCCCTGAGCCTGAGCTTTGGCATCCTCTCCAAACACCCCCAGTCGGCGGCCCAGACCCCTGAGGCTGGGTTCCAGAGGCTCCCCAATTCCAGGTCCCACCTCATCCACTTCTGAGTAGGGCTTCAGTAGGGTCCAGCTCCATCCTTCACATGTCACAGACTGCCCTTCCCCTGGGCATACCTTGGCACCCTGAGAAGTGAGCTGACTATTGGTACTTGCGTTTATTGCTGGTGGATGTTTTGTTTTTTTATTAAAGTGAAACAGGCAGGCCAAGACCTCCTCACATCACTTGAAAGCATTCAGCTCTCGATATCTTAAGTATTCATTGTCATCATTTCCATTACATATCCTTGTAATATCCAAATATTTGAATTAAATGCCAAGTACAAACTGCCTGTCTGCGTTTTCCTGCTCAGGATCCCCTCTTGCTTAACACAGCACCCCTCTGCCTTCAGACTTCTGCATTATTAGGTTTTGTGTGCGTTCGTCACCCTGTTTGAGGTTTTGCCTGAAAGCGTCTAACAGAGGTCAAGAGCAACTTCTTTGGATTCAGACACCCCAGGCGCCCATCTCGGCCCTTCCACTGGAGACTGGTGCTCCCAGTCACAGTTACTGTCTCTCTCTTGCAGTGTTTCTGTGTTCACTATACAGAGACAGGAGATTTAAAGGCTCCTTAGGTTGTGAGAACAAAAGGATAGCATGTCTGGAGTGGCCGCCACAGCTTGTCACACCATGACAAGTGATTGGCACAGGGGCAGGTTCCCAGGGCTTTACCTGTGCATTCCAGTCTGAGGAGCTATACTCGGAGCCTCGGCACTCTAGGTTTATTTAACACAGGTGACTGCGGGCTTGAGGCAGCAACCACACAGGTGGGGTCCTTGCAAGGATGATTTTATTTATGCCTTTTTTAAATTTAGATATTAGAGATACAGCCCAATCTCTGAAAAGATCAAGGACATTGGTAAAACAAGAAAAGAATGAATTTACAATTGCTTGAACACTCTTCCCAGTTTCCCTGGATTGCTCTAGAGCTGAAAGATGGGAGCTCATGTCAGTAACTGTCAGTGCATAAAAAGAAACATATACAACAGGCTAAGAGCAGGCAGGAGACAGAATGCTGGAGATGTTTGGATAGCACGGAACCAGGTCGTCCGGAGTCCTGATGACTGGTTTCAGGAAGTGTCTGCAGCTGTCCCTATCCTTCAGGTGTCCTTCAGAAGATCACCTACGTCATGTGGAATAAATTTATGCAGTTTTTAGAAAAATGCAACTGAAGCTTACAGAGGTTAAATGTCTAATTTACAGCTGTAATGACAAACACACAAATCTAGGTCTTAACACTTTTAAGGATAATTCCTTTAACATGATATGACAGCAAAACACATAGTCAGTTCATTCAATTTTAGTAATTTACTTATCAAACTGGAGAAAAAATGCCAACCCAGACATTTGATTGAATTGCTTATCATTTGGATTACAATAGATTTGCCCGTGATTCCATGAATATACAGACTCAAAATATTATACCAGGCGATTTTTCCCTGAAAAGGCTGCCAGTATGATTGGCCTGCCAGCTTCCACTGTTGCAGACACACCAACTCAGGTGTGTTTCAGGTAAGACCTGAATTGCGTGCAGTCAGCGGGATGACTGAGGTGCATGTTTTTGGCTTACGTTGCACAGGACATGTGTATTAGGACATAAGTGGAAATCATTCTCAGATGCGTGGCTGAGGCCACAGAACCATAGTACTGGAGCATATTAAGTCATTTATTTCTCTTGTATTTTCTCCCCAACCCCTGCTGTTAGTTTATTCCAGTCTTCCATGGAAGACTACGCACCAGAGAGTGGAACCCGCCTGGAGAGTAGAGGACCCTGCCTGGACACCAGAGCTCCGTCCTAAGGGATTCAGGCTGCGGTGTTCACCAACCCATATTCATATTGCAAGGCACAACCCCCTACCCAGGGTGCCCTGGCGACACCCCTGGGTCCTTTACCCCTGTGGTGCACCGAGCAGCCCCTGGCACCTGTCCCAGGCAGGATGAACCACACCGTGGTCACTCAGTTCATCATGCTGGGGCTCACCCAGAACCCTGAGCTGCAGGGCGTGCTCTTCTGTGTCCTCCTCCTCATCTACATGGTGGCCTTCCTGGGCAATGTGCTCATTGTGGTCGCCATCATCTGCAATGCCGCGCTGCACATGCCCATGTACATACTCTTGCTGGGGCTGGCCACAGTGGACATCGTCTTCACCACCAGCATCATCCCCGAGGTGCTGTGGACCATGCTGTCCGCGGAGAGCACCATCTCCTACAGCGGCTGCATGTCCCAGCTCTTCTTCTTCACCTGGTCCCTGGGGGCTGAGATGGTGCTCTTTACCACCATGGCCTACAACCGCTACGTGGCCATCTGCTTCCCCCTTCATTACAGCACCATCATGAACCCCTGCACGTGCGTGGCCTTGCTCAGCCTTGTCATGGCCATCGCCATCACCAACTCCTGGGTGCACACGGGTCTCATCCTGAGGCTCACCTTCTGTGGGCCGAATACCATTGACCACTTCTTCTGTGAGATACCCCCGCTGCTGGCCCTCTCCTGCAGCCCTGTGAGGATCAACGAGGTGATGGTGTACGTAGCTGACATCACCCTGGCCGTGGGGGACTTCACACTGACCTGCATCTCCTACGGCTTCATCATCAGGGCCATCCTGCGCATCCACTCCTTGGAGGGCAAAAAGAAGGCCTTCTCCACCTGCTCGTCCCACCTCATTGTGGTGTCCCTCTACTATTGCCCCGTGATCTACACCTACATCCGCCCCACCTCCAGCTACACCTTTGAGAAAGACAAGGTGGTGGCTGCACTCTACACCCTGGTGACGCCCACGCTGAACCCCATTGTGTACAGCTTCCGAAACAAGGAGATGCAGGCGGGGGTCAGGAAGGTGCTTTTGAAGCGTTAGCAGGTTCAGGGGGCACCACCTATCTCCTGCAGAGTCAGTGTCACACATCTCAGGCTTAAGGGGCTTTCATAGTTCTGTCCCCAGTTTCCCTTCCTGATGCTTCTTCCTGTCCCTGGTCTTCTCCACAACTCCGTTCTCCTCTTGTGAACATGTTTATGATGCCACACGCACAGCACATTCACAAACACACCTCACTGCACTCTCCCAATGTGTGTAAAATGCACACCTACAATTCTCCTGTGTGCATGGACACAGTGACTTACAGCAGCCTGCGTGTCCCACGTGCATACATGATGAATGTCACCGCTGATGTGAAAGAATGAACTAGTCTATGAGTCAACCCCAATTTACACAGCAGAGAAATATATTTTGTCACTGTGGAAAATATTTGTCACAGGAACAGCACAGCTTTCCCTCCTTGAAATCCATGTCACAGTCAAGGTTTTGAGGCAGTAATTTTTAAATCTATGCAGATGAATTAAAATAATACCATCATTTCATTGCTGCCTGCTTTAGAATTTTTGCTCCATGAATACAAGAACTATAAATTATCATAAAAAATGCTTGTGTTCTTAACATCAATTCTTAGTAAGCCTGCACCTAATGGCGAGAGGGTGAATCACATGGTACCCTGCAGTGAAGGCCACCGTGAAGGCTCGTGGGGCCACCGGCCAGGCTCCTGTGGGAGGCCACAACCAGCCTATGGGACACGGTGGCTGTGAAGAGGACTTACTTGGGATTGTGTGGGTCAAATTGGCAAAGGGCCAAGGAAATGGGGGTTTTCCCTGAGATTGAGTGGCTATGACAAGGCAGTTGACTTGACACAGGTGGGGGAAGGTCACTAAGCAGTAATTGGTGAAGAGACAGTGGTTCTCGTCTCTGCCAAGGGACCCTGCTCGCTCCTGAGGTGTGGGCAACCCGCTAACATCTGTGCTCATGGTGTCTATGGAGGGTCTTGCTTCTCTTTCCCTCCACATCAGTGGCTGGCTCTGCTCTCTGTTCTCTGACCCAACATCAGCAGGACAACAGCACCTCTGAGCTCTTCAGGGTGCCAGCTGTCCCTCAGTCCATCACAGGCACCCTCTTCCACTGCGCTATCCTCCCAAACAGACAAGTCAGACTGATAGACAGGCCCATCTCTGCAGGAAAGAACAGGCTAGATAATTGCATGGATGCGTGCCCCTCGTCTGGAGTGAAGAGCCGTGAGCGTGGTTATTTTGTCTAGCGCACCCGCACCTATTCCCAGCACCTGTTCCCAGCATGTTCCCAGCCCTGCTGCAGCAAACGGAAGCCACGCAGCTGTGGTGAGCAGCCTGAGAGTTTGCAAGCTCACATGGGGAAGTGGTCACACCCAGCTGGGCAGTGTGTGCGGCTCCTCACACTCACCATCTATCTGAACATTCAGTATCTGCTCTCAGCAACTTTCAGTCACCAAAGCTATTGTCACCCATAGTCACCACAC